GTCGCGTCCGTTTCAAACACTATCGACGACACGTTGTTCCTGGCTGCTTGTCGACCGTGAAGTAACTGCGTGTCGGCTGAAAAGGTCCTCCATTTGAAGCGAGGAAGAAAACAGCGAGAGGTTTGGTCGTAGTCAGTAGTAAATGCCGTGACCTCCTATTGCTGCGACTTGAGATGTACAAAGTATGTGACTATTGACTCGTTTCAGGACTTTCTTCAGCCAGATTCGAGATAGCTGATATAACGAGACATAAAAATTCCTGATGGCTCTACATTTCGCGGCCAACTTGGCCTGTTGATGTTTGAAACGCGAGCTTATGATGGAGTGCGTCCAAGCAAAAAACTTGATGAGCGAAAGTTAGAATAGATATACATGTTAATTAATAGCTAAAAGCTTCGCTATGAACGATGCAAACACGTGTTTTATAATGAGATTCACGCCTTGAAGTGTCCGTTGCGTTTTCGTTACACGTAACTGCTGTAGTAAGAAGCATGGTGGCAAATGCCTTCGAATGTAGCAGGATCTATCTCAGAGTTGCCTAAATGGAGCTACGAACTATTGCCTCAAGAAAACCACTCTGCATCATCACGTTGGGGTGGATTTCGCAATGCCGTGCGTGAATTTTATAGCAAAAAAGTAACTGAATCTCAACCAATTGCAAGAGATTTCACATTTACAACTGATGGGAAACATGTCATCTTTCTTGGAACGGAGCCAAAGCTGCCGACTCTTGATGGACGGTCAACATTGCAAAATCGTAATCTTACTCTGTATATTGCAAACGTGGAGGACGCAACCGTCAATGATATCGATATGGAGGATGGTCCTGCTGGATCTAGTCCTGCCAGTGGTATTCACTTTTGTCGTTTGCTATCGTTTCCATTGCCACACGCTAACAATGTATACATTATCCAGATCATCAGCGGGAATGCACACCGCTGTTGAGCTCAGATTGGCTACGAAACTATAAGAGACCTACTGTAGATCGTGCAGAACAACGCCAACGTGCTGGAGGTCAAGGGATCTCTTACTTTCATATCGCCGAGCAAGCACTTGACATCAGAATCCTGTTCTCCTTCTCTAGCACCCTATTCATTGGAGCCATATCCATCGCAGAACCCAAGATATTGCAACTACTGGAAATCCCAACTACTGTAATGGACATCCGTCTCGATGCCAAATTGGGTGGCCGACGAAACGATCTAGTCTCGTTCGTTAGAAACCGAGACCTGTACGTGACTACGTTTGATGGTATAGAGACAAGGCTTACGTATGCAACCACTCCTGGTGTATCCAATGGCTGTGCTGAATATGTAATGTCGGAAGAGTTTGGGAGATTCACGGGCTACTGGTGGTCAAATAGCAAAGATGATGTGACTGGTGTCGATAGAGCAGAACGGATACTGTATTTTCAGGTCGATGAATCCCAAGTTGACACGATACATATAAATCGTCCTGGCCTAGACGCCGATTTTGACACATATCGATATCCAAGAGTTGGAAAAGAAAACGCTAAAGCTGATCTTCGCATTGTTGATTTTATTCCCAGGAGGACTCCTAACGTAAGTCATGAGCGTGGGGATAAATGAATGTGAGTCTTTCTGAAGGATTACCCCTCTTTAGGAAATGCCACCAAAACCAGTAGAGCGGATGCTGAGAGGCTCATGTAGTCTCAAAGTATTATTCCCGTGGCTCGAGTATATAGTTCGCATAGGCTGGCTTCCTGACAACAATAGTGTATGGGCACAGTTATTAGACAGAAGACAACAACATACGGCCTTGATTAGAATACCTCTAACCATGTTTGTCGCTGCCGGCGAGAACTCCACTGGAGTAGTTGAAATATTGTTTGAGGAGGACGCCACGACATGGATCAATGTGGCTGACGGCTTACAATTCTTTCGTCAATCTGAAGACGGTGTATTGTCTTTCATAATACCATCGGAACGATCAGGATTTCGACATCTCTATCGTGTCGATTCATATAAAGACGATAATAATCTAGATTCACCAGCCAAACCAAAGCAAATCGTGACTCAACTCACTACTGGAGACTGGCAAGTTTCAGATCAATCGATATGTGTAGATGAAGAGCATCAGCTAGTCTACTTTACGGGACGACGAGAAACACCGCTTGAAGGACACTTATATGTGGCTTCTTGTGCTCTAAAGGACGGAATTCCGATAGATTTATTGCAACCACCTAAACTTGATGCAACCGAATGCCAAAACTTAACTCGCAACGTACGCAGATTAACTCAATTAGGGTGGTCTCATACCATCCGCTTGGATTCCAAGTGCACTAGATTTCTTACCATGAAGTCTAGTTTACAGGAGAAGCCTGTGATTGAGGCTTGGAAGCTGGTAGACGCACATCCTCTTACGAAACCTATATTCGTAGATGATTCGGAGGATATCCCAATATTAGATGAAGGAGATCTACAGTTTCCTGAAACAAAGGATTTGTCAGATACTTTGCCGACTGTATCTTATCTTGGCATCACGTGTCCTCAAAGCATGCTTGACTTTCAAACCAGTCACATGCCAACTCCAGAGATATTTTCTTTTATCAACAGTTCAGGTTTGTGGCTTGTTATTCATGTGTTTCTATTTGAGCTAAAGCTGACGTGTTTTGCTTAGGTGTTAGGATATTTGGCCTGGTATACAAACCTGATGGCTTCCAGCAAGGCGTCAAGTATCCAACTCTGCTCAGAGGTAATCTCCAAGCAACCATTAAAAAGTCTATGGGCAAGCTGGCTCACACATTCACAAATAGTTTACGGCGGACCTCGTGTCCAAGTAGTCACAAACGACTTCAAATATTCCAAGTTTATGAGATCATACTTCCTAGTATCACTCGGCTACGTGCTAGTACTGGTGGACTCTCGAGGCTCATACAATAGAGGATGTGCCTTCGAAGGCCACGTAAAAGGTCGCTTAGGTCAAACTGAACTCCGAGATCAAATCGAAGCCCTGATGTACTTGTGTACATCAGAAACCTTGCCATATCCGGATACTGATTTGACAGAAGCCTGGGAAAGAATGAAAACCGAATCACGAAATGGACATTTGAATGAATGCTGGATTGATCCGGAACGTGTGGGTATACTAGGGTGGTCGTATGGTGGCTTCCTGGCTTTAGTTGCTCTTGTTCAACATCCTGCAATCTTTTCTCGGTGCTTGGCGGGTGCGCCGGTTGCTACATGGCTAGGATATGACGCACCATACACGGAACGATACATGGGATTACTAGATGAGAACAAGGAGGGATATAAACGGGGTAATGTTATAGAACTGGCAGATTCTTTTCCCAATGAAGAGAATAGAGTCCTTATAGTCCATGGGCTTCTGGATGAGAATGTACACTTCAAGCACACTGAAGCTCTCGTCGGTGCTCTAGTAAAGGCTGCTAAACCGCATCAGGTACAGGTGTATCCGACAGAACGACATGGTTTACGATCTAGTTCTGTAATTGAGCACTATGAGACGTTGAGTAGTTGGTGGTGGAGTGGAATGTAATATAAGTGTTGGAATTGTGATGTAACAGAAAGTGAAAATGGTGACCTCCACTGTACAGTAAGTACACGATTGTAAATTTGTAACTTAAGAGAATGCCAATAAATTTCCCTGGATATAATCGCATTTGGTTTGGGCTTTGTGCTGAAGGTGATGAGCTGTCCACGTTCAATTTTTCCAAAAGGACAAGCTACAGAGGGAATGAAGGGGAAATGCAATAGTGCTAGTGTGTGGGGCACAATCTGCAAGATATACGCTCTTATAACCGGAACAAGTGACCGCTCATCAGCAAACAAGGGAAAAGCTTCAACCAACTTCGCGACCATGGACAATCAACAACCACTAAACCGTTGCTTTGTTGGCGCGATGATGCATTGTCCAAATGGGCAAAGAGATGTCGAGATAATCCCCCGTGCAGTGCTGATGGTCGACGCTCAAGGCAACATTGAAAAGCTCGTGCCAGTTCCTATTGACATGAAGGCCGAGGATGCAGTCATATTCGCTGGTGTTCCGAAATACGGGCAGAGGCCACAAGTCGTTGAACTGCTGGCTGGTATAACTTTGAATCTTTGTTTCTGACGTGTTTTTCTGAAAAGCGTCGCAAAAACCTTGTCACCCAAAAACGACTTATCAATTCCATTTTTCGCTCATTCTTAGGTGAATTCTTGATACCAGGATTCATTGATACTCATATCCATGCTCCTGTAAGATTTGTGGTGACGCTTTTGTGTGGTTTGACGCATCCATTGACACTTTCTTTGTCATTAGCAATTCCAGTTTGCGGGAACAGGTACCGCTGTATCTCTTATGGAGTGGCTTCAAGAGTTTGCTTATCCTGCTGAGAAGAGAATGGATGATGCCGAATTTGCTAAGTTGGTGTATAATAAGCTGCTTTCGTATCTTATACGGAATGGGACGACTACTGCAGTGTATTTCGGAAGCATACAATTGGAAGCGAACAAGGTTTGTTGATATCCGAGAGTTCTGAAACTATTGCTACATTCGATTTGAGCAGTGTTTTGTCACGGTACGACTCACCATATGTTCGAACGTAGGTACTAGCCGATCTTTGTATACATTACGGCCAACGTGCTTACGTTGGCAAAGTCGCCATGGATCAAAATGGAGGACCCGGTTATGTAGAAACGACTGAAGAAAGTTTGAAGGCTACTGAAGCCTTTATTGAATATGTATTGGGCAAGAAGAATCCGCTCGTTACTCCGATTGTGACTCCAAGGTTTATTCCAACATGTTCTTCCAAGGCACGTGTTGGTGAAGAGTTTTATTTAATCGTGCCCGATATTCATCAGTTGAGACGTCTCTCATTTTTTTTAGTTGCTTACGGGTCTTGGAAAGCTCGCAAAGAAATACAATGTCGCAATACAATCTCATATATCCGAGTCAAACGATGAAATATCTGATAATTCAGATGCCGAAACATTTGAATCGCATGGGTTGCTATCATCACGCTGTGTCATGGCTCATGGTGTCAAGCTACATTCCTCGGATGTATCACTGTTGGTATCAAAAGGATCGACGGTAGCTCACTGTAAGTGTCAAACAGTCCTTTCTTTCTATGGAGCAAGTCTCATCCAGAAATTTACGCAATCACTACTATAGGCCCACTCTCCAACCACTTTTTCGCCAACGGTGTCTTCCCCGCCAAGAGGTGGATGCACCACGGTCTCAACATTAGTCTCGGAACAGATATCGCAGGCGGATACTCGACATCAATGCTAAGCAGCATCCGACATGCAGTCACGTCATCTCGCGCATTGAACGATCTAGCACCAACAGCTCACAAAACCGCTGGCTTCGATATCATGAACTGGAGAGAAGCGTTTTATCTCGCTACTATGGGCGGCGCCAAAGCGTTGGGTCTTGAAAGGACTATTGGGTCGTTCGATGTTGGGAAGTCGTTTGATGCGATACATGTTAATTGTAGTGATAGTTTGGTGAATAAGCCCGGTGCTGGTGGTGGGTTTGGATTTGGGGGTGGACTTGGAAGGGATAAGGATGGTGGTTTTGGATTTGGTTGGGTATGTGTGAAATGGTTTGCGAGTGTCTTATTGATCATCGTTGCATATGTCTTATGCATCGTATTCCTTTCTTACATTCTACAATTAAACATTAGGGTGGTGGAGGAGGAGCAGGTGGTGGCGATGGAAAGAAAGGAGCTGGTGGTGGCCTTGGTGAGCAAATCTTACAGTGGCGCTGTCGCCATTCTTGACAATTTCAATCGTGATACTTAACAACAATCCAAACTAGGCGGAGGCTTTGGTGGCGGTTGGAGTCGTGATGGTGGAGCTGGAATTGGAGGAGGATTCGGTGAGTACGACGTTCAATGCTTGTTCGTACTTTCTGCTTGTCGCAGTCAATGTTCCCGACGTCTGCCCGTTTACCAAACTGAAACCCCCATCTTCTCATATCCACAACCTACATCTGATAGGTGCGGGAGCCGGTGGTGGTGAGAACTCTCCAAGTTTCAATAACCCAGTACCTTGCTTCAAAAACGACGACCTCGCTCAGATTATTGAAAAATTCATAAACCTGGGCGATGATCGAAATATTTATAGTGTTTTTATTGGAGGAAAGCAAATTGTATATTATGGCAGAATGGCAGTAAACTAGTTGTGTTCTGGGTTTGCTTGCAAAAAATATGTGATATACTGGTAGTCACTTTTTTTCGTTGGATCGATCACGTGGTTAGATTTTATTTAAATAAATGAACGTTCGAGATTTTGGAAGCAACAATTAGTTTCTTCGATCAATTGGATTCACCCATAATTTCTCGGATCCAAGGAACCCAGGCTCCGACCCCTAACATTTTAAGGTTAGAACGCGACCCACCCCTTCCAAAACCTGGGACAACACAAGATCAGTCATGATCGACATGACAACCAACGGCAAAACAAGGCCAGATTAGGCTTGTCGCTAAATCTAACAAGGCCATGACTTGCATATAAGGAAGAGCAGAAAAATCAAAATGGGACAACCGATACTACCAGGTGCGAGGGCACCCATCTTGATTCCTCAATTGGAAGATGTTTCCCTCGTTTCCTCAGACGCCATCAACGCTGTCATACGTTCGTATGCTGTTTTCGAGGAATTTGCATTTTGTGACGCAAGTAAATATATTGAAACAATTGAAGAAGGTATGTAACTTTCAAATAGACAGAATTTGTCGAATGATTTATATTTCTTATTTTATTCTTCTTCAAGTTGCAACGTCGTCTGAAACTCTTAGCAGTGCAAGCTCTCTACGACAGCAACCGATATCACCACGGAACTCGCCAGTATCATTATCACAGACTACACCACCTTGCGGTGCAATCGATCAAAATCATAAAGAAGAGGAGGATTTACGTAGCTCACCATCGATCATGCTTACCTGTGCAACTGGTGATGAAGTACGTTTCATTGAAATCTTTTTTAGCTTATTGCCAATACTCGCAGACCGATTGCTTATACTTTTCAATTTAGTTACCATCGTTCATGACTAAAAAGCTAGTTCCATCTCGCAAGTCCTCTAAAACAACCCCAATCGACGCCATAATACCGCCATTCCTGAAAAACACTACCGCCGACGTGCAAAAGACACGGCTCTATAAACGAGATATATCTAAAGAGGCTGCCGTAGCCCGATCCCACACACACAAACATTCCTCAATAGCACACCACGTACACGAAGCATGGACAGCAGCACTATCAAAACTCGGGTGGAGGAAACCAAATGGAGACGAAGACTCTGACGACGAAAACGCAACAACGGCCGCAACACTGCAAAACACCATGATGAATCTCAAAACCACGACACAAAGTCTGGTACTGACAGATCCAAGTCTTTCGTGGACAATGATTTCTCCGAGTCCACGGCTTCAGAGACTGACCAAAGTACCACTAGCTCCGGGAAGCCCGATGCCGAGTATAAATAGAGCTTCATCGCACCACGTTCATAGAAGTGTTTCAATAAATGCAGGAGGTCATTCTGCAACGTCATCGAGGGACTCGTTTTCACCAAGACCGATACGACAGCATGCACGTAGGACTTGACAGAAACAACATAGTAGTTTGGCCCATATATTGTATCTATATTTAAAGCCATATCAAGTAGTTATTTTCGAACGTGTTGGATTTCTTACATGAGTTGTAAAACTTGGCTGATGACAATTTTATGGAGATTTGCAGCGGGCTGTAATCAACCTGGCAGGCCTCCGCAGAAATTGCTTCGTGCGTCAAAAGCGTCCCTGGACATTTTGACACGATTCCGTGGTTATAGGCAAAGTTGACCTTGAGAATGTCCCATTGATATAGTAGCTCCACTATATCTGTAGTTCAATGGTGGGTACAAATAGAGCCCTCACAAATGGTGCTAGCAAGGAGAGTAGAGCAGCATCTCCTGCAGTTGAAGATACACAGTCAAGAGCACTTTGTAACCCGTTTGACCAGGAGTTACTGTGCCATAGCTGAATTACGAGACTGCTAGCTTCACCATTACTATCTGCGTTCGACACGGACGGACACGGGTTCGACTCATACAGAGGTCGTGGTATCACGTATAGACTTGGGAGCTTTCAATTCGTTCAGCATTCGTCCGCAGCGACAGTTACCTCGTCTGAGCATAAGACAGTAGTGTCCGTATCAAAGAAACCAGCATATAGAGAACACCAACATGACACCGCAATAATTAAAAGCTTCAATTTCCAGAATGCTACCGGCTGCCTTTGCCATAATCAGTTGGAGATTGATCCATGCAATCTGAAAGCGCACTGAATCCTTGGTAGAAGCAACGTCCTGGTCTCTTCTGCAGGATTTGCGGCAATTTCGTTGGGATTACTTGGGATTGCTAATTGTCGTTTTTGTGCTAGTTGCAGTACTAGCAGTGTAAAGGAAGGGCTTGAATCCAGATTTGGAGCAGTCTCTTCCGAGCTTCATTATTCCTTGTTGCTTCGAGGTGCCTTGTTGACGTACGAGTTTGATATTCCTTCAAATTCTGGTAAATAGTCACAAAGTTGCGATTCCTCCCGTCATCGACAGGGACTTGCGTCTTCGTTAGACGTTGAGGCCGACCTGGTCGTTCAATAGAGTCACGTCTTTCTATGCAGCTTCGTTCTGTTGTTCGTCAGACAACAATTCATATTTATTGGTTGATTTGAGATTGGACCCGTCCTCCAATTAATGGACATGACATCAATTCAATTGAATACGTATTTTTTACGCGTCTCGTTCCCTCTTCGTCGCCCTTCTCCTTATTGTCTCCCATATATTATTAAAATTGTTCACCATCCCGAGAATCCCGAGTTCATGTGTATAATTTTGCTATCAATATATTGCTGAATCGATACAGAAAGCCTTCGCCACACCATATTCAGAAGTTGTTTGTTTCGAGAGGGGATTATATCTTTTATCAGACCATTTGGCTGCCGATATACCATATATCTTCTTGTCTCAAGAGACTTGATGAGAATACCAAAGTTCAACTCTTCAAAACTTTGTTTATTCTTACACTATATGATATAAATGTACTATTATATTACTCAGCCCTCCTTCACTGACTGCCCCAACACTATGGACATACGCAACACCAGCGACTGCCTCGAATTCGTCGAAATACAGCAATTTCGTGGCCAAACGAGGAATTTGCAAAAGCCTTGTTCAAAAGATTCGTTAATTTAGCTCCAAACCTCGGTCCAAGGCTATATTGTAGCGGTGGAACTGTGAGTGTGATACCAATGATCATAAAGAATGATTTGGCATTAGTATACCTGATCAAGTAAAAAGTTCAGGATTCCACCATAACCCTATTACTATACTCACTCCGCCCTCCTTCACTGACTGCCACCACACTATACACATACACAACACCCCTCGATACATCCGTGTCTTTGTAAATATGATTCCCAGCATTGACGTTATCTACGATTCCATCAGCAATCATCTGCCATGGATGCCTGCCGCCATCATAAGTCCTCCAGACTTGATAATGTGATGCACCTACACTACCTCTCCATGTAAGCCTCGCATCTCGTGAGGGATACAGGTATGGAGGTGGCGGTGCTGGTATTATTGGTATGTCTCGACCGTAGAGCTTTGCTGAGTATGTTCGCATCATCTTGATGACTCGTTGCTCGTCTGGATGGAACCCTTCTGCTGGAGGGAATCCTGGATAGTGATACGCTAGGTATCCTTCGTATTCCTTGTGGGTGTAAAATCCACCTGTGATATTGGCTTGGGTTAAAAACACTCGACCAAAAAAAACCAGAAGTTCACTGCGGAATCGCACAGCTTCATACCTTGTTCAGCGTGAAATCTCAAAGACCATATCAGAGCTCCAGCGATTTCCTGATTCTTTACTACTGTATCCAGCATAGCTTCCATTACTTTTGGACTGGCAAGACCGAATTCACCACAAAAGAATGCCTTATTATATTTTTTTGCCAGCTTCAGATCGTTCTTGGCCTGGTTGGCATAGTCGTTGGTGCCTTGTGGTGAATAATAGTGGTTGTCGATGGCATCTACATACGGCGACTGAAGGACTTCTTTGGGCCAGTGTTGATTTTTGGTTCCAAGACTTCCGTCTATTATTATATGGTTTTGATCGATGGAGCGGATGAATTTACAGATATCGATTGTCCAGTCTATTGAAATTGTGTGTTAGATGGATATCTGACATTGCGCAAAAATATGAAGCCCGCATTCACACATACCTGATGGTGTCGAATAGTCCCATCCTCCAAGTTCGTTTCCAGTCTCGAATCTATCAAAGGAAATCGTCAGAGCCTGTTCTCTAACACTATGAAGGTATCTGGAACACATACCCAAGTATTGTGGGATCATCACGATACACCACACCCGTAACGGTATTCCTTCGAAGAATAACCTGTTGAATGACCTGCTTAAAGTCATTCCGTACTAGCGAATCCGTCCAGAATTCCAGCTCTCGTTTCCCTCTGAATGCAGCAAAGTCCTTCACACCGCCGTGCCATTCCCAGTTATCGATAATTGGGATGATGACTCTGATATTATAACGGGATGCAATAGCAATTGCATGGTCGAGTCCGATAAAGAGGGCTTCGTTGAGTTTGGTCGGTGACTCGATGTGTCGATTTTTGCCTACAGATAGTGTATACGTCCTAATCACACGACCTTGCATCTGATGTACCGAGGCAAGCGCATCCTCTATTTCAAGATAGATCGTGTGATTATGTGAGCTTAAATGCTGTAAATGTAGTCTCTTGCAAATAGATCATATGTGTTTATCAGCTCGCAGAACTTCAAATATTGTTTCTTGCAAGATCAACCAAATGTACCCACCTTGTTCCCAGGGAGAAGGAGCTCGCTCCCATTGGTCTGGCCTTCCATCTTCGAGAGCCTGTATATTTGGCACGTTCCAAGATATGAATCTGAACGGCTTGTCGTATTCATAGAGGATTGTGCCTTGACAGTATATAAAGCCTCTTTCTCGAGCAGAAACTGCTTGTCTGGAGGCTGGATCTTGCTGATTACTAGGCACTTCCGGCTTGCTGAACCACGGCATGCTTGCAACTTACGAGCGAACGGTGCCTTTCGCCTTGTTGCTTGTTGCAAACTGGTCAGTTTCTTTCAAAGAGTTATCGCGTGAGATTGACATTGAGAACGACGAAAGACGTAATGTGGTCGCGTGGAAGCAGTTTTAACCTTCATTTTCGTGATAGAACGCGACCATAATGACCTTGGTAATCGATTACCAACCAAATCGTCACGGCTGAGTTTCAAAAAAAGGTAGAACTCTAATTCCAAGAGTGGACGAAAGGAAACGGAATTGCACCATTGCTCTCGAAATCATACAAGGACAATTTTATTACTAACTTCTGCTAATCTCATATCAAGGTATGTCTTGTACTATGTGAACTCTATTTTTTTCACTGTTGTGAAGTTGCAATGATCGAAACCCACAACATTACCGCATCATGCAAGAATTATCGCATTTCTAAGCTTGGCATAGTGCTCATAAGTCAACAATGAACGGAATGATGCTATGGTGGTTCGCTTGGCTGACCTTTTGCTCGCCAATGAACGGGATGACACAATGTCGCTGCTCTTGGCTAACCGTTTGTTTGCTTCTAGAATGTCTGTCCCTAGTCATTTCAAGGCTATGACGCTCAAACTCTCCGTCGGAGCTGATGTAAAGCCTTGACGTTGGTCACTTGTGCTCCATCACACTTGTGCACTCACAACCCTCACTTTCAGCCAAAGACACGATTCGATGCTCTGGTATCGTCTGATCTACCAACCCCTGCTTTGAAGAATGGTGAAGTGCTAGTCAAGATCCACGCTGCCGCTCTCAATCGTAAGCTCCAACCAGAGTGTTGCACGTTGGTGCCTCAATACTCACACTTTCTCTCAGATCGAGATGTATGGATTCGTCAACTAGGAAGTGGTAAAGAAGGTGTCGTCTTAGGATCTGACGGTGCTGGAGTCATTGTAGCTTCAAATCCAGACAAGACTCTCATCGGAGAGGAAGTCATCATCAACCCCGGTTTGAACTGGGATTCTCAAGTATCGGGACCAGGTAGCTTTCACTGATTCTATTCCTGCCAAATCAGTCTAAATAACAACAATGCTCTCGCTCGCTCTTTTGTTCTTCAGAGAACCCGGCCATATATGAATCATTGGGACATCCAACCAACGGTACCATCTCCGAGTACCTCGTAATCCCAAGGAAATACGTATACACCAAGCCAAAGCATTTGAGCTTTGCTGAGGCTGCTGCTCTGCCTCTTGCTGGATTGACTGCTTGGAGAGGTCTTTTCACTCAAGGTGTGTTTGGGATGCTTCAGTGTTTTTGTCCAATATCTCAAAACGCTAAATCCATATCCTGTCCTCATTCAAAGGTGGTCTGAAGAAGGATCAAACCCTCTTGATTCCTGGAATCGGTGGTGGTATGTTTGCATTTTGACTTCACTAAGTGTTTCAGGATCGCCTCATCAGTACTCATGGTTGACAAATTTCTCGATAGGTGTCGCATTGTTTGCTTTGCAGTTTGCAGTAGCCATTGGAGCTAAGGGTATGTCCAATTGCCACCTGAAGTTTCTTCATTCGAACGCAACTTGTCTTTTTTTCACCATTATGAACCCATTCTCTTTCTATTCTTCCAGTATACGTAACCAGCTCAGACGATGAAAAGATCAAGAAGGCCATCGCATTAGGAGCAACCGGTGGTGCCAACTACAAGACAAAGGACTGGAGCAAAGGACTCGCCAAAGATCTCGGAGGAAAAGGAATCGACCTTATATTCGATGGTGCCGCCGGCCAAGAAAACTTTGATGCTTACTTGAACTTGATGAAAGTCGGTGCTACATACGTAAACTATGGAGGTACAGCTTCATGGGCTGTCAACCTCCCCATTGCTACATTCTTTTCTAAGCAGCTTTTACTCAAAGGGTGTGTATTATCGTCTTCGTTACATCCGTCAATACAATACTCATCAATCCTTGTATTTAGAACTGTAATGGGCAGTCAACGAGAGTTTGTTGACTTGGTTAACTTTGTCAACGATCACAAAATCGTACCCATTGTCAGCCAAGTATTTGAAGGCCTCGAAGATGGTTCAACTAAGGCATTCAACCTAATGCTGGCTGGAGCACAATTCGGTAAAATCGTCATAAGCATGGACCACAAGTTGTAGGAAATTCAACCAAGATAACTTGCTTTGAAGTGGTTATATTTTTCTCGCAGATCTAGTCAACAGGAAATATAAACAATATCACTTCCAAATTGGTTTCTTTTACGTCTTCATATATTGCACTAGAACGTTGGTCTCTATTACGCCTTCGTCGTATGTATCAAACGATATCGCTGCAAACCTTCAGGAAGGTCCCATGGTAACAAGCATCTTGTAACTAAAAGTAAACCACAAACCTGTGAACGTAGTCTAGTAGTGGAACGTAGTGTGCGAAGGCTTCTGCTCTCATCAAGCAGCATCTGGAAGGGCGAGGAAAGACTTGCAAAACGTGTAAAAACAGGATTCAATTGAATGGATGTCCTTTGTCACGTCCATTCAACGCGACTAGCTCCAACAGAACGTGACCGTTCCTTAGAACAAATGGATTGTTTTCCTTCGAGAGCTCAGAGAACCCGATCAACAATGCATGTCCAAGGATCAGGATCAAGTAAATGAATATTTAACAAGCAGTCTACCCGTTTCTATCAAGTCTTCATAGACCTTACAACGCCTTCATTCGGTCATTCACATCCAAACACCACATTTTACGAATAGAGCAAATGCAATGGAGGAGAGACTAGCAACTGATGACTCAGAAGTGATTATGGTAGATTGGCAACCACCGCCATCGCAAGAAACCAAAGCACCATCTACAGGATATGCAGTTTGGTATTCAGCAGCTCAGCGACTGATTAAACACGACATTCCTACATCCATAAAGGCCAAAGATGCCAACAAGCTCCAGCATCATGTAAACGACGCTATAAGCTGCCTGGAATGTATCTTGAATGGCACCCATCCTTTCCCGACAGAGCCGTCTATTGCTAATGTGCTGCTGCCTCCCAGATTCGAGGTCATTACAAGATACCATATAGCTAATCTGCTGATTACGTATACTAATTCGTTGGAAACTGCTGATGCTCATTTGCAGAAGGCTATCTTGATATTGGGCCAATCTCCAGTGCGTGTGGAAGATGCAGCTTGTGTTTTTGGTTGTGCAATCGAGTATTGACCCTTCTTCGCATAGATCCCGCATTCATTGGACTTGATCTTTTGTATCAAGAGCTTACAAATCACCATATTTGAGAGAAGGGATGTCCTGAAGGCCGCTAAAAAGATGCTCAAGGATATGAGCTTGGATGCTCACACGTAAGTTGAAGACTTTCGACTCGTACGATGCAGTTCATCTTATTCGTCGTACTGAACAATAAGTTTTAAAATAGATCGGAACGAATGGACTTATGGTATCTGTCTCAACTGAAAAGTGCTGAAATCGCCAGCTTGATGAATGATGTGAAGCAATCTCGGACATTACTTACAGGCGGGGCACTAGAAGCTCAGAAACGGGGCGATCTGGATATGCAGGCATGTAATTCGTTAATTATATAGATCGGTGCCCAAGTGTTTTAACAAACCAAAGTGTTAGGCAATCTTTGATATCTTGATACTCAAATACAACTTCGCAATGGTATCCAGCTCGAGACCCAATACAATAAAAGAATCCCTCGCTAGGCTACACCACCTATTATACCCTTCTTCTGAAAAGACCGAAATGGTTATTGATGATAATGGCGCAACAACCACAACACGAGAAGAAATGCCTCCCACCATTCAACAAGAAATATGGTATGTGGGCTGTGCCATGGACATTTTAAGTGAATTACAATGTGGACAGCCACTGGTAGCTAAAAACAAGATGGGACAAGTGTTGGTAAAAGTGGATGCAACTAATGCTGCTATGAAAGACACCATCGATACTGGATTTGTTACTGTAAGAATGCCATTCGTGGAGTTTGTCTGTTCCGCGAACTATCCACTCTGACCTTTTCTCGCCGCTTTTTTAGATTCAAGTTCGTGTGTCGAGACTTAGTCGTGAGACTCGACCACTCAAGTTTCAAATCTTGCCTCGACATTGCGTTAATGTGCTTTTGTGTTTGGTTGCTGGAGTATGTCGAAAGTGTCACGAATGTGAGAAGGCACACCGATATTTAGTGGAGGGGCTTGGAATTGTTCGTGGTACGTTCGCCGTGGAAACTTCTTTTTCCCAGTCTTAATAACCCCTCATCGTTTCTTTCAGGTCTTGTGGATATACCTGGTTGGCCATACAGACCGGTTTCACATTCTTTAGTAGCTTGATACTGATACTGATTGAAATCCTTTTTATTTTAGATAAGGTGGATGCTCTAGTTGGTTTACAGGCTCTTAAATGGATGCAAGAGATCAAGTTGTATCTTTTGAGACATGCAGCAGAGTGTTCGATACTGCTAGGGCACTATGAAGATGCTACCAAGGTAAAGTTTGTCCTCAAAACATTCTAAGCGTGGATACGAATGGAACTCATTGGCGTACGTCGTAATTTAGCACTTGATGGCCCTTACTCATGAGCTAGCATCTCGCCCATCACCGCCTCTCTCACAGCGTGCAGCATTAAACCTATCTTGGGGTATGCTCCATACAGCAACTGGAAATTCGGAAAAGGCATCGATGCATCTCGCTGCAGCAATGCAACTCTCGAGCGATGATCCAACGTTAGAGAATGATGTAGGCACGTTGGCCAAGGCTGCGCTAACACTGTTGTGGGCTTCGGATAACCAAGAGAAGCAAGATTTGGTATGGCAGCAAAAATCAGTTCGTTTGTGTACTACAACACTCGTTATATTGATTCTCGGTGTTTGGATTTACAGGCTGACGGCTTTCGTCAAGATTTAGCTGCAAGAGCAACTACGTCTGACGCATCTCCATACGAAAAGATGATTTCGTCATTGGTTCAAAGTATACATTATACCAATCCGCATCATGTTGGATTTCAGAAAGCAAAGTAAGGGCTTGTTAACCTGAATGTTCGCCAATTGTTTTGGTTGTCAAAGCAGTATGACTTGCGTCTCACCTCTCCTCATTATCAGGGCATTTTTGCTAGAAGCCATCAGGCAGACAGACGCAATCGGCATGCGCACATTCACTGCTACGGCTCTAGCGTTGCTAGGACAATTATTTGTCAGTACAGAACCAGAGCAAGCTGAAAAAATGATAGCGAGATCATTCAAGCTATATCAAAAGAACGGTAAAACTATGAATGAGACTACGAGTACTTGTGCTTTGACACTTTCAGGTTAGTGCCGCGTTTCATACCTTTTGAAGTTTTCAAGTATTTGCACATGTGATATGGCCCTTTTTCTTGGCATAAGCTCACACTTTTCAAATCTCTAGATTTACATAGTGCTAGAGGGGACACTGAACAATCTCAAAAGTATAAGAAGGAATACGAAAAGCATCTCAAAGCCACAGCAGAGTCAATTGAACTTGCTCAACAACTTATGGAATAGCTAGACTTTTTCATTTGGATTTTCTCTATGTTGTTCATATCGCTTGTTGTTCGTTACAGTAATTTAAGATGAGTGTTTTTAGTTGTACATATTCTAATACATATGTAGCAAGATTGCAAAATGCGAGGACGGATTTGTCTCGTCGGATACATCATTTGGTTTTGGAGCTGTCCCAAACAGGCAGCAGAGATGGAGCACGATTACCAGGTCTTCCTCTACTGGAACTACTACCAGTCCACATTTTATGCAGCCTCCAAATAACAAGCAGTCCAATACCACTCAACGTAATATACACAATGCTAGCAAAGCGTCCCTTTTCATGCGTACGTGTCATCACAATTCCTTTAAACACTCCTTCCTCATCCTCCTCACCACCAGCAGCAGCATTCTCATCCACTAGCTTCTCATCTACTACATCATCATCTACTACGACTGGCGGTACTTCTAAAATCAAATCAGGTTCAGACCCTAACGCTACATTAGGGCGTGCTCTAGTCCTCTCTGGCGGCAGTGGATGATTGACTTTTTCAGCTGGCAGTGGTTGTTTGATACCATCTGGCGATGGTGTTGTATGCAGTTTACGTGGTTTGTGGGAGGCCACTGCTTTTGGTACTGCGTTCACTATTGTTGGTGAGTGGATGGGAGTCTGGAGTGGTGTGCTTGGGGTGATGGATACGAGATGGTCGTCTTTTGTGGCTTGTTTATCTGGTGTTTTTATATCACTTGAGTGAGTTTCTGAGCTGGGTTTGGCTGCTTTCTCCTCTGACGGTACCGAGTCGGGTTTAGATAGCTCTTTCTCTTCTGATACTGAATCAGGGTCTGTTACAGATGATGGTTTTGAAGCCGTGATAAGTTTGACTGCTTCAGATGGTTGTTGGGATACTTTAGCATGTTCCTCTACTTCCTCTTTCTCCTCTGACTTTGAATGAGTTGCTGTAGCAGATGATGGTTCTAAAGGAATCTTCACTTTCACTGCTTCGGGTGGTCGTTCTGAAACCTTAACAGGTTTCTCTTCCTCCTCCTCCCCTTCGTTCTCCTCCAATACTGAATCATCGGCTGGAGCAGCTGATGGTTCTATTGCCGACTTCACATTTATCACTTCTGGAACTGTCTTCACGGTCGCTGCTTCAGATTCCACACTCGAAGTAATGGTGGATTCTACAGTGGGGGTGGACTGCTTGTTTCCCAACTGTTTTAAAATAAGAGACTCGATGTATTTGACCAGATGAGGTCCAGTATAATTGGCGTCAGGAAGATCTAAATAGATAATTGACATGAGCCTTTATATAGCGAAGTTTGTACTTTTGTTTTATCCAACCACGTCAATCAACACTTACATCGTTCTGCGAATAAACCCTCCTGGTAGTATCCAACACTTGGATAATCCGTCAAGTTCGGAAACACTTTACTACAGAATTCTAGAGTATCACTGCGATCTCTCTCGTGCGAGCAAACGAAATTACCCATGTTTAGATGCGCTATGTCACGGATGGGTGAGGTGGCGTTGAATGCTTCTCGGTATGAAGTCAAGAATCTAGTATCACGAAAATAGGGGGAAAAGCAAAGAATTAGCCCTCCGGAAGATGAATTGGATGCATACAGGTTGAAAAACTAACCGTTTGGTGTCATCGCACCAACTAGCACCAAACACGACAATGATTCTGGTGTTTTTGGCGACATAGCTACTCCAATTAGATTCTGTGAGTAGCAGCGGTTTAGATGCGGTTGATTCCGTGATTGTTTCATTCGTCGATTTTGCAGTTGATGTTGTTGTTGTGTCGTTGGTTGGTATTGATAAACACGTCGAGCCAGTGATAGAGAATGAAAGTATAGCTAAAAACGTTCCGATGGCCTTTCTTTCAAAACGTGATGATGCCTTCATCTTCTCATAGCACCGATCAACACAACAGAATCCAAGTTTACAGAGAAGAAGGGATCTCAACGTGATTTGAAACGGTCCTAAAGTATAAATCGACGTTAGATCTAAGGTATTTGAACTGTTTTCGGGACGATTTATAACTTAATTGTGAGGCTTACCACGTTATTTGAGATTCGATGTTTTGACAAAACTGTATTCAAACTAGATTGACTCGAGGATTATTGAGTTTCACGATGGCTATAAACGTCGGAATCCTTACTGGTACTGTCCTTTTCAAATCAATTCAAACCATGCTTCAGTCGAGAAAATCTAAATTCAACATCACACATCGATAGTGAGCGACCGTGTATCAAAAGGACAAGCAGAAGATCTCTCTGCTCCAGCATTACGAGCACGTGTTGAATCATGGCCTGATTATACAGTTACCCAATTGGCTACCGTGTCTGATTCGGTGCTTGAAATTCAACGAGTCATCAAAGACTGGACTGACAAGACAAGAGAAGATGCTGGTGTGCATTTGATATTATCTACTGGTGGAACTGGGTTTGGAGTACGTGATGTTACTCCTGAGGTATGCATTCAGTGTTGTCGCCAAAAAGACTGACAGCTTGACCCTACCTTATTTCCTCCAAACTCACGTATTTCTATTAGGCAGTCAAAGTACTACTAGACAAGGAAGCTCCCGGTCTAGTACACGCCATGATCTCAACATCTTTAACAATAACGCCACTCGCAATGCTATCACGTCCCATAGCAGGAATTCGTAAAAACACTATAATAATCACACTACCAGGAAGTCCCAAAGGATGCGTCGAGAACCTGGATGCCGTGAAGCCAGCATTGTCACATGCAATAGAATTGGCGCGTGGTGGCGGAGGTGATGCTACTCATCGTACCATGTTGGCTGGATTTAGTATCAAGGGCAAAACCGAACGTGATGCTTCATCATCATTATCATCATCATCACATTCTCATTCTCACGATCATGGTCATGGACATTCACACGATCGCCATCATGATCACCATATGTCAATGGATCCATCTGAACCTGTAACGTTACGACCACGGGAATCACCATATCCTATGATTAGTTTCTTGGATGCTGTCAAAATTGTAAAGTCACATACGAGGCTGCTGGATACCTTGACTAGACCTGTGAATCCGGATTTGGTTGGATATGTGTTGGCCCAAGATGTGTTTGCTAAAGAGGCTGTTCCTGGATATCGGGCATCAATTGTGGATGGATATGCCGTAATAGGTATTTGTGGCTTTGCTATATCGCATTTTTTTACCGCTATTCAAAGCGCGCCGTACTGAAAAGCTATTATAAACCTATTAGCATCTGACGGACGAGGCTCCTATCCAGTAGTATCCACATCAACAGCGTCCGCATCAACCGAAGAAGCAAAACCACTACAATCAGGTCAAATAGCTCGTATCACGACCGGTGCACCAGTACCACCAGGTGCAGATGCAGTAGTTATGGTGGAATATACTACCCTGGACAAGGTCTCTGATGATGGCAAAACAGAGCAAGTCGTGACCATTACTTCTCAAGCAAATGTTGGGCAAGAGATTAGAGAAATAGGATCTGATATGAAGATAGGAGAACGCGTGTTGGCTAAAGGAGAATTGGTTACTGCTGTGGGTGGTGAAATTGGTGTAGCTGCTTCTGTTGGTGTTCAAGACGTAAGCATCTGTGGATTGCGTGTCAGCGAAGTTTTTCGCCCCATTTAACAAAAACCGCAACTCTAGGTTCTTGTATATCGTAAACCAATAGTCGCAGTTCTGTCATCAGGCAATGAAGTTGTAGAGCACAATCATGCTGGTGATTTGTCATATGGATCTATACGAGATACGAATCGGCCTACTCTTATTGCTGCTATACGAGCTGCTGGATTTGAGGTGTTGGATTTGGGTATTGCTACAGATGAGTAAGTTGCGGGTGTAGCTAGTCCAATTTCAAGTCTTTTTTGCGTACTTTTTTTGGTCTTCGTTTAAAATCCTCATTTGATCGTTAGTCCACAAGAACTGGCAAATACAATACAAAATGGTCTTGAGAAGGCGGAAGTGCTGATATCAACGGGTGGTGTATCTATGGGAGAATTAGACCTGTTGAAACCTGTTTTGGAACGTCAATTGGGTGCTACCATACATTTTGGACGAGTGGCTCTCAAACCAGGGTAAAAGAATATATAGCGGAAATCATCACGATAGTGAAGTGCTCTGACTCACCATATCATTGTTATTTTTAGCAAACCAACTACGTTTGCTACCATGCCTGGGAAGACAGGTCAGGATCCGGAAAAGCTAATTTTCGCATTGCCTGGCAATCCCGTTTCTGCCATTGGTGAGTCTCTCTGCGCGTTCTTGTACAGCTTCGCGTGCCCTTATGCAGGCTTTGCTTACCAATGCCGTCGTTCGACTTAGTGACATTCTACCTGTTTGTATTGCCAAGTTTACGTCTCATGGCAGGTTACCCATCTTCTGATCTCCCCATTGTTCGTGCTGTGGTACGATGACACTTTACTGATGCACTCGATACGACAGTCGCTGACACCTTTTTTGTCTTTCGATCTAGATATCCGAGAAATTCCCATTGGATCCACGGCCTGAATTTGTACGAGCTGTATTAACAGCCACACCTTCATCTACGTCTAAAGAGAGTGTGACTATTGCAGCCGTGACTACTGGGATGCAACGATCATCGCGTATCATGAGTGTGAAGGCAGCAAATGGATTGTTGAAGTTGCCTGGAAGGACAAAAGAGAAGTCGTGAGTCTCTCTTGCATCGTTGTGGCAGATTAAGGAAAGAGTATTGACGCGATATTTGCGTTTAGACATGCTTCGCCTGGTGATGTTGTGGAAGCTATTGTAATTGGCGAGATTTCATTTCGCGAATAGATAAGCGGTCAGTGATGTCAAAACTTGTAAGATTAAATATAGAGCATTTACACGCGTTCGACCATGATATTACGATATTACATGTGCTTGGAAGTGTTGCTGGTTTCCTAGCCGTTTCGCCGCACTCCTGTCACCAAGTCATTCAAAGCTTACAGATTCCAAATCTAACTTCAAAACAAGAAACCCTCTCATAAGAAAGGAAATACATCAATACACAATGATTCGAGCACTAGGTGTCTCTCGCCCTCCCGAATCCACATCAACAACATCATCAGGAACGTCAAATGAGACATTTCCTCGAACATTATCAAATGGGTCAAGCAGCGGCGATTCAACAACTCCACGATCAGGTTCTAGCAATTTACCTGCTCTGCTTCATAAGGCCAAATCAGCTTTGAGCTTACGAACGACAGAGGCTCTCTTTGGGTACATTCAGCCAACAGTCTCAGACATTTTCGGTGGAGGGCCGATCGTTATTCCACCATTATTACGCAAGGTATGAATAGATGCTGCTGTCAGTTTGTGTCTCTTGTTGGCTGTTTTCGACACATGTCAAGGACTGACACAAATCATCTTTCAGATCTCTCTCAATCCTGACAATCATAATAGATGGCTTATGCATGGAAATCTCAAAGGTATCCATTTGAAGCTCCTATTTGGCTCGTTCGATTCAGTTTATCTGCATTATACTACTCTGCCGTCTTATCTGCTTCATACTACTTTAATGTCTTATTTGCTTTATACTACTTTGACGTGTTTGTTCACAAAATGTCTGTTTCTAGAAATTGACGACTGGCTGAAAGAACGTGAATCCATGGAAGTTTCTGTATACGCCGATCCTCGCGTTTGGCAGGGACAGGTCTGCTACGAGAGGCAGGATATTATACTCGAAATCAAGTCTAGCATGGAGTTTGGTGTATACACATTCATCTTGAGACCTGCAGGTAATCATGAGGTCATGATGCAGACTTGTTTTCCTTTACTGTCTGTTCTCGTTCTCACCTTCCTTGTATCTCACTCTCGTTGCGTTTAATTCACGTGCAACTCTTCTGCTTGTATCTCACCATCGTCACTTTCTCTTCATTTGTAGAATTTCCGAAAGACTATGATGAGAATGTATGGAAGCGAAGGTACTCAGACTCTGTGCCGATGCAGGTATGGACACTCAGCACCACAAGTCATTTCGTTTCCAATTTTTCAACCTAACACAAACCTCGTTCGGTAAAGGCAATTGCTCTCATCGCACGTGCAGTAGAAGCTGCACGACATCCGAATCTCGCTAAACTCACTCAAAACGAAATGATGATTGGATGTCTCTTGCTCCCACCATTAACACAACTCGGAGAAATCGCCGTGTTGTTACAGAGCAGGAAGTATCGACGCGGATATCACGATCTGAGGCATGCTCTCATGTCTCTTCGTGATCGTCATGTACCTGAAATAGGTGCAGACGAGAACGAGGCTTCGAATTCTCGAGCACGACAAGTGTTTGAATGGGCGAATGCTGGAGGGGCGGACGAGCCGTTACCTCAATATGAAGAAGGGTTGCCTCGTTATAGTAACGTGAGCTCTATCTCTCCAAGATACAGTCTCATGTCGCTTCGCCGATAAATGATCCAAACCATTCCACATCTCATCAGCCTTTGTATTTGTAGTTGTCACAGTATAATTTGTCTCCACTTCATCGATGTAATTTTGCATATATCAAAAGTAAAAGTATAGTCAAGTCAATGAAGTTTTGATGTAGGCCCAGCCTGCTGTTTCTGTTGGTTCAAACGCGGTGTGAACGTGCCGAAACACGACAATGAGCGCTTGAACGCAATCTTTAGATGTACATCATGCCCTTCGCCGTTTCTCTTTTCGTGTTTTCGATTGCCTCGTCTCGTCAACTCGTCCAATTTAGAAAATATAGATTAGTGTGAAGCTTCGATTTGCCAGACATCCAACGCTCCTAAGCTTAAGGAAGACAACGTGGCTGCACCAAGAGCCCATATGTATATGAGCGTGATATTAGATTTCCTCGACAGCATTGTATAAAACAGTCAGAATCAAATCCCAAAACCAGCAACTTGGACAAATATGACTGGAAGAGGCACTAGAGGCGGACGAGGCAGAGGACGAGGAGGAAATTCAAACTCATCATCGTCAACGCCTAATACTCCTTCAGCAGTACCCAATGCATCGCCTTCACCTGTGCAATTGCCATCAACTCCAAATGCTCATCCAGTAGGCGCAACCGCTTTACCTATTGGTCAAGTACGTACTGATAGTTGGGATCGCTTTATAATTGATTTATTTTAGTGTAGTCCGTTTCACTTTGCTCCATCTTCTCTCTACCCCTGTAGTTTCCACAGAATGGACAAGTTACAGATGCACTGATGTATCAACGAGGTTCCCAACCAAGGCAAGCTCAGATGCAACAAATCTTGCAAGTCCAAGCTGCTGTATCAGGTGAGTACACATGAACTCTGTCATTTGGCGATAGGATCACAGATCGTGAGAATCCATTTTCAAAATTTCTTTGTTTTTAGCTCAACAAGCTTCCATGCAAGCTGGTGGGCTAGATGCTAATATAGCCGCCGCAAACGCTGCCAACGCTACTGCCGCAGCCTCACAAGCAGCAGGTGCTCAACAAGGAGGCCCACGAATGCAAATCACACAAGAGCAATTCAATTCCTTGACACCACAACAACGCCTAACCTTACAGCAACATCTGATGGCTGTTCAAATGAATCCTGGACAACAGTTTGGTGCTATGGGAAGAGGAGGTGGGATGCCAGTTAGACCTGGAATGATGCTACCACAACAGCAAACTCCACAGAATTTGGCCAATAGTTTACAACTATTACAGTCAATGGCTGCTAGTGGAAGTAATACCAATCTAGCTGCTGCTGTATTAGCATCGTCGTCCTCCCCTCCTGCGCCAACAGTCGATGGTGTAAATCAACAAAACAATAATAGTAACAATAATATGATAATGACTGGTAATCCTGGTAATAATCAGCAACCACGACCTGTGCCAAGCCAGGTACAACAACAATTACAAACTCTAGTCAGGAATGGGCAACACCATATATTGAATGCCCAATTCCAACATTCGTTGACCAGTTATCAACAACAATTGGCTAGTGGTAAACTCGATAACGATCAACGTGCTGTAGTCTTGAGCAAGATTCAGCAACAGCAACAACAGTATGAGAAATTCAAAGTCACGTTTTATGATCCTGCCATCAAGGAAGAACAGCGATTACAAGCCGTTGCTGCTGCAAATAATGCTGCTGGTGGAAATGTCAGTAATGTAGATGTAAATAACGCTCTAGCCAATCTAGCCAATGCAACTGGTGCTGGTAATGTAAATATACAAGGAAATCCAGCTGGTAGTGCTGCTGCCATTGCCAGTGCATCAGCAAATCTGGCTGCTGGTATACTTCAACAGGCTGCTGCATCAAGTGCCTTCCAGGCTCAATTACAGGCAGGACAGTTCCAGCAGCACGGAGGTGGAGGAGGCAGTAATAGTAACTTGGCTGCCAATTCGATGGCTGCTGCCGCTGTAGCTGCCAACCCAGCTGTATTTGCTCGTCTCCAACAGCAGCTAGTCCAAAAACAGCAACAGCAACAAATACAACAATTATTGGCTGCTCAACGTGGTGCTGGAATGATACAACAAGGTACCAATAATACGAACAACAACAACACAGCACTAAATTTGATGCCAGGACAAAATGCTGCAAATGCTGTAGCTGCTGTCTTGTCTCAAGTCAATCAACTGACTCCTCAGCAAATGGCTGTACATATTGCTGCTTTTCAGCAACAGCAACAACAGCAGCAACAAGCCGCTCATCAACAACAAAGTCAACAGCAGCAACAACAGCAACAACAACAGCAGCAACAGCAACAACAGCAATTGAATGCTGTTGCAGCTGCTATTCAAAGTGGGAATACGCCTGGTAATCAAGCGGCTCTTGCTGCAACAATGGCTGCTTTGGGTGTTAGACCACATGTCCCTGGAGGTCCTCAGAGTCACATGCAAGGTATTTTCTATGGGAAAAAAACAATTTCTTTTTTCACGAAATACTTGTCGGCGTCTGTGATCTCTCCCGTACCACCCTAACTCTCCCAGCTCTGTAGGAATGATGCAACCAATACCTACACAGCTACCTCAACAACAGCAACAACAGCAAATCCAAAATCAACCCATGCAAGTAGTATCAGCTCCCGTACCAGCTCGAGTAGCACCACCCACAAATCCAGCCATGAGCTCTTCCCATCCATTATTCGCAGCCAGCCCCAGTTTATCTGGACGTCTTTTTACTCCTTTCCCAACACATGGTGGTCCACCTGCACCTGGAGCTCCACCACTTGGTATAATTATGCCTGGTAGTACTTCTGCGAATGGTAAAAGTGTCTTGACCCCGACGAAACGAACAGCTGAAGACGAGAAGCCTCCAATGGCGGTTGTGAATCGAGGCAGAGTCAAGAGGAGGATGAAGGAGTTGGTTAGGGAGCTGAATCATGATGTCAAGTTGAATTCCGAAGTTGAGCAGGTATGAAATTTGTTGCCAATGCAAATGATTTTTCTTTTGCTTAAGTCTCATCACCTCGCTCGCTTTTTTTGGTAGGCCTTGCTAGAATTGGCTGATGAATTGATTGACCAAGTCACTCAAACTGCATGTAAATTGGCTAAACATAGGAATTCTGCTCAAATTGAAGTGCGAGATTTGGCGATACCTCTTGGTAAGTGAAGCATCCGTAGACCACTTTGTCTCACTTTTTGCCTGTCCAAGACTATGTTACCCTCTCTGTCACTACTAAGGATTCGATTCTGCCTTGCACAACTTAACTGACAATCACCTTCTCTTCGTATTTTCAGAAAGAAACTGGAATGTTCGAGTTGCAGGCATTGGAACAGACCGTCCTCATCGTCGCTCTCAACCAAATCAAGCACACATAAATAGATTATCGGTCATTCGTAAAGCTAGAGATATGGCTCGAGACACCACGACGATTACAAACAACACTCTAGCAAATGGCCCCACACGAAGCTTGCAAGACAGAACAGATGTCTTTGTACAGGCCCTTCGAGCAGCCAATCAAATTGGCGCGACTAGTGGCAGTAATGGTCCCACGAATGAAGAGGCTCCTAGTAGTAGCAGTGGAGTGGTAGGAGGTGTAAATCTCGCTTCAACAGTCAGTACACCAGATGCAACTATGGCTGATGGTGTTGGAAATGGAAATGGAGGAGGTGATGATAATGAAGAGGGTGACTCTCAATGATGGCAAGGGTTGAGAAGAAACACCATCTGTATAGGAGCACGCATTTGTGGATTTTTTGGATAGAAAGCATTCAAGTTGAAAACAATACAAGCACTAGCATTTCCGCATTGATTTCATTCACTTCTTCGCGTAGATCGAGTGGGAGCGATTGTACTACTGTAGAGGGTTTCGATTGTCCAGTCGATTGTTCTTCTTGCTCCCTTTTCCTCCAAGCCCACTGCGGTTTCTGAATCAAAAAATTCAAACAGAAGAAGAGAGAGATGGCGTCTCGAGGCCGGATGCTATTCCTGGCAGCTATATTATACTGCTCTGGTCTAGTTGCTTCCCAGAACGCTTGTGGGAATCAGACGGGAGGTGGAGTCTGCGCCAGTTATAGGTGTGTGGTTTTGACCGTTTTCGAGGAGATGAGGCATCGATAGAGGGAGATCATTGAGGAACTTGTGTTTACAAGTGCATAGATGCGTTTAATGGCCTCTTTTGGTGGTGTTTAGAAAAAACCGTTCCACATCTTCACCATCGACTATTCGTTGTAGTGTTTCTCATCATATGTAATATTACTCAACGCTAATTGTTACGTTTCTCAATTAGTCCTTGCTGCTCGAGGGCTGGATTTTGTGGATCTACGGCAGCGCATTGTGGTAAAGTGACTCGTCTTGGCATCTTTCCGCAAAATGTCTTCAGAATCTGGGTCTAACTATCCTGATCCTGCAACATGTAGGCCTTGGCTGCCAGACTGCTTACAGTAACGGATCACTGGCTTGCTACGCTACACGACCTGGAGCTCAACGATGTGTTTCAGGACTATACAATTTCGACGCAAACACATGGATTACCAACGCAAATGCATTCAATGGAGATCCAAACTCGGCAGACTTCACTATTGATTCTGTGACGCTGTCATCTGTGGTCCCAGCTAGCAATAACTTACAAGTGTATTTAAAGTCTTCGGCTACTGTTGGTAGTGACGGGAGATATTATGGATTGAATTCGCTGTTGTCGTCGACGGCGTATCTCGGATATGGGTATTATGAGGCCAAGATTACGACTGCGGGTGTTAATGGAGCTGTCACCGCTTTCATCGGGATCGCAGACAACGGGGATGAGATTGACTGGGTAACCCATTGTTTCGATGGTCCCTTCTCAGATGCTGATCTTTTATTTTCCTCGTAGGAATTCACCGGCTCCATGCCTAATACAGCTCAAACGAATTACTTCTACAGAGCATACCCCGACCATACAAGATACGCATACTTTGATACTGGTTCTGCTACTGCGACAACCAGTCATATATACGGCGTGGATTGGAACGCTGACCGAATAATATGGTCGATTGATGGAGTGGCCAAAAGGACTCTGAATTCATCGGGTTCCTACGCGGCTGAGGTTGGTGGAAACCTCTACCCTGTCACGCCAATGAGGGTTCAAATTGGCATCTGGTAAAGTCCTCAAAATCGAGCTGTTTAATAAGACTTCCACGGGCGGGACGTTAACGTACCTTTGACGACTAGGGATGGTTGTGATGATCCTTCGGGTGGATCGAATGGAACGCGAAAGTATGAAGTCTAAAGGTGAACCAGATTAAGCGTGATGTTGACTCTCTGATTCATTTCTAGTTGGGCATGCGGTTCTAGTACGGCATACATCCCCTGGACAAGTGCGCCATACTCTACTACTGGTGCTTACGCTACAATCAATTATGTCAAGATTCAGGTATGAAATCAAAGTCACATGTACAATCACAACAGGCACAAGGTAGCGGTATTGACTTCACTATAATCATGCATATATAGTGTGCGGGAGACGCTGCACCAACAGCTGTACCCGTCAGAAACGGCACATATTCGAAACCCAACCCCACCGATCCACCACTACTGAACGCTCTCTACGGAGCATCTTCGACTCCAACCACGTCTGTCTCACCCACTCCGTCATCGGGAACTGTTGCTACAACGTCGTCGTCAGGCTTTGCAACGCTCTCTACCCCAGCAATTGCGGGAATCGCAGCTGGTGTTGGCGTCACATTATTGATTTTGGTCCCATGGTATGTCATTGATTCTCCTTCATGTTTTGACGCTCATTTGGTTGTCAGCTTGGAAATTTACAAGTTGTCTTACAAAACAGGTTGATAATACGAGCACGAAGGAAGAAGACACTGTCTGATGATTCATCTGTTGGATCGATGGATCAATCCCGAATGCAGAATTCTCGTACGGATCCGTATGCATCAAAGATGCAGAGTGATGCATCGTATGACCCTGTGAAAAAGCCTGAACCTGTGCATAATGTTGCAATGGTGTGTACTCTGTTTCCTGTTTTGGTTAGCAAATGGTCATGTCTAAACGTCCTCTCTTGCTCGATAACAGAATCCATCAGCTGGATACGCTGCACAGCAAGGGTACGCGCCGGCCGCGTACAACCGAAGCGCGGCTATAGCACAACAGCAACAATTGCAACAACAACAAATGCATCAGCAACGACAGCTGCAAATGAACCAGATGTCACAACAACAGCAGCTAGTATCCATGGGTGCTGTTGCACCAATACCAGTGTCTGCAGCATTAGCTGCACCACAGAATATACATTTAGCTCTAGGTGATTATGGGCCAAGTGCAGAGAATCCTGAAGCCATCAGAATCGCTGTTGGGCAACGGGTTCATGTAATTCAAAACACCAGCGCAGACTGGGTATGGGGTGTGAATCTGGATAGTGGCGATAGAAGGAATGGATGGATACCAGCGGCTTACTTGAGACCTTTATGAGGGTCAAGTACTCGCAAACTGTTTTTGAGAATGAGGGGAGTGTATAAAGTTTGGAACGTTTTTGCATTTGAACTTTTGTAGGGTGTTTCACGAATCTCGTTTGAGTTATGTGTTTCATATTTTAGAACTCATCTAATATAAATATTAACCTCTCAAAACGAACATCGATGTGTTTTGAGTTGGTGTTGCTAGTTCTTGGCTGTATTGGCGAAACACCAATATCAGCACGAAACTTTTCGCATAGGCGAAACCAGCCAACGTGTTATATCAGAATTTCAAAGTTCATTTATTCGTGTTCTCAGAGATATAGATCCTCATTCTCCTAGGTGTTTCTCGTTTTTTCAAGTTTTTGGAGTTGATGGCTTTGAAAACTTAAAAATGTTGATTGATGGCGACAGTGAAGGATTGCGTTTAGCAGTAAGTAACACACGACGGCCAGCACACACAATTGCGACTGAATGACGCTTTTTATCATCACATTTCGTCTTGTCTTCGCAATCAGTCAAGGATTTAAACCAACAACAATTCAACTTTCTTCAAATACTCTCAACAAGACTTCAAACGTACTTGCCCACCGTCTACCAAAGCAACTCGTAAATCAATCACAAAATGGTGGTCCCAACAACTCAAGATCGTGTCCAAGTCCACGTTCCTTCAGCAAGAAAAACATTGGTTCAAACTGGTCCAAAATCTCAAGGACTTGACTATACTCCAGCTCGTGGTCTACGAGTACAGCCCAAGAAATATTCTGGCTCTTTGGATCAGTTTGAGAGCTTCAAACCTACACCCAATATTGGACTTGAATTCAAGGACTTGCAACTTGCTAACTTGAGTGACCGTCAGGTACGTTGCTTGATACTTGTTGGAATTGAGTGTGATTTGGTGTATTGTATTGTACTGACTGTTTCGACCCTTTAGATCGAGGACTTGAGCATCTTGGTCTCTCAATATGGAGTCGTATTCTTACGTGCTCAAAGCATTACTGCTGAGCAGCAATTGGAATTTGGTCGCAAAATTGGTATGACTTGTTTGCTGTTGTAAGATGGATTCTCAGGAGTCTCATGTCCCAACACAATTCTCAACCTCAATTTAGCAACTCCCAAGGGAACGCTTCACGTTCACCCCTTGACTTTCAAGACTACTGGTTCCGCTCTTGATGAAATCAGTGTGATTTCGAACGAGTTGCCTTCAAAGGAATACTCTGATGACGGGCCTGCATCAGACGGATGGCATGCCGAGTATGTCTTCATACTTATTTGCCATCACTAATACCGAATCAGCATTAACATCTCAAAATCATTTAGCATCACTTTCGAAAAGACACCTTCCAACTATGCAGCCCTGCAAATTAATGACGGTCCTGAAACTGGTGGTGATACTCTGTTCAGTTCTGGTAAGATTTCAAAGGATACCAAATCAGGAAATCATCATCTTCATCCTCGTTGACCAATCTCACACTCTAATCTCAGGCTATGCTGCCTATGACCGACTTTCAGCTCCATTGAAGAAATTCTTGGAAGGCTTGACTGCCATTCATAACGCCGACTTTTTCAAGAATGTGGCTAGTGAACGTGGTTCTGAGATTCGTACTGATCGTGGCGCTGACAATACTGGGTTTGACTTGACTGCTGTACATCCCGTTGTTCGAACCAATCCTGTGACTGGATGGAAGTCACTCTTTGGTGAGCTTCGCTCGTCGAAGTGTCTTGCTTGGTCGTTTGATGAACTACACATAACTAAAACTCTCGCTCATATAGTCAACAAGGGCTTCACCAAGAAGATTGTCGAGCTACGAAAGGATGAATCTGACGCCGTCTTGGCTTACTTGTTTAACCACATTGCCGGTGGTCATGACTTTAACGTTCGATTCAAGTGGGGAACAGGTGATATCGCCATCTGGGTAAGCTACTGGTGTCTGCTTTGGCCCGATATCATCGACGCAATATGCTCAGAACTTTGAATCATTCTAGGACAACCGAAGTGTCTTCCATACTGCTACCAAGGACTTTGACCCAAGCATTCTTCGTCGTGGTAACCGTGTGGTTCCTTTAGGAGAGAAGGTATGCAATCAAGTTAACAGCCACTTTAAGACCTTGTGGTTGATTCTTAGCCCACTTTCGCTCTCTTTAGCCATACTTTGACCCATCGTCTTCATCGAGGTCTGAATCTATCAGAGTCTCCAAGCTGTGACGAATGGGGAAGTCACAGAGATTAGTAACAAGCATATACCCACAACCACATTCAAGTATCTTTAGCCACAAAAATAAAATCTGTTTCCTACATCAATCTTGCCCAGGGTGTAAAGCGATTTGGATCGTTCAATGTTCAAATTGTGCGTTGAATTTACATCGGTTATGCACCATAAAAGATGAAATGTTCCTTTTTTGGCTTCAGTTTTTTGATCTTGCTCCAACTGCGTCTTTTTAACACTCTGATAAAACTTGAAAGTTGATGCAGTGGGGATGGGTGGTATGCCGAGTAGAAGTAACTGCTCTAACCCAACTTGTAAACGTGGTGAGGCGAAAGTTTCTGCTTCAATTCCAACTTCTATTGGTGCTAAAGTTAAACACATAATCAACTTCAATTCCAAGCTCTCATAAAAAATCAAGTTGGCAACAGGCCACAGCAGTACGACAGTGTTCAGTTAGTGGAGGTTAGTACGACAGAATGTACGATCATAAATGCATCATTGGCACACACGAATTCCTTCCCCGTAAACAAGGGGATCGCTTTTTCTCACCAAAACACATACTTGTTTTGGATCATAGCCCAAGCGGTAGAGGGGCGTCGGTGAGTATGTATGGATTGCGGACGAACACGTTGTTACCTGGAATCTTACCCCCTCTTTTTGCAAAGTTCTTGATGTTGATTGTTGGTTGTGTGGATGTGGATGGGCATTACTTGCAAGAAGAGAGTGACCAAAATCCTGATGAGAGTGGAGTAGAGCGCTCCGGATACAATAGATGTTGAGCCATCCAGCTATCTAAGAGACGCAAAGGTGTTGGCTTGTTAGTATTGTTCAAAAATCCAACATGCGGCAATTGCAAGTTGACAAGACAGGACAAGACAATTGCCCTACCAGAACGCTGATATGCACACAGCACCCTATTTAGTATCTATATATCACAGATCTACGCTGTAAACCCCCTCCCTGATTGTGTCTGGTTTGCATATTAGGAATTTGTCGAGGGCAAACAATTAAATATTAGTTTATTTTGGGCGTGGGAGGCAATATATGGAAGGCTGAGGAAGAACATGTAACACGTGTGGAAATACGTTTTCAATTGAATGGATGTCCTTTGTCGCGTCCATTAATGGCGACTAGCTCAAATAGAACGTAAAACTGTTGGTTTGCTACGGGATCAAAGAACCCAAGCTGAAAAGGCAGACTGGACGCCTTTGAACGATTACTCCAGCGTCAATTCGCGAAGGTCATGTGATTTCCCGTCCGTCAGTTGTGGAATTGCAACTTACATGGTTGGTATGCAATATGTAAAACCTTTGGTAAGGCTGAGTTTGATGTTTTCTCGCATTCTGAAAAGCTACTACTGTTATTTCGTCGAATGCTTCGGCAGTATCTACTACTTCTGGAGAATCATCAACTGTCGCTGTGGGGGTGAGCTTTTCATTTCAGCGAGTTTCAGCCGCCACCTGGAGTGCTGGATCTCGAATCACATATCACGATGAATGCAATGTCGTATTTGATCCGTCTATTGGATTTCACATTGCTTCTGCACACAGAGATTTGCCTCAAATCTTGCCACGATTCTCTGCAGCAATACCAGCGTGTGCAGCTGGACAAACATCAACGAAATATAGCCTTTCGTGATTTTGAACGTCTTGCGGACACGATCACAACGCCATCAGCATCTTTATTAGGCAACGAGTTCAAAACACCAGTGCAGTGCAGTCCGGTTTGAAGTGTGAATCCGGATAGGAGGAACCGGTGGCTAGCAGCAGCCTACGTGAGAATTATAGGAGGGACAGCACTCGTACTGTTTGGACTGATGGTGCCATAAAATCAAGTTTTTGCAGGCAACGTTTTCGACGATCTGTTGCTACTTCGAGTATGTCTTTTACAATTTAGGCCTCATGCATGCAATACAGCTCTATAAAAGCAAAATCGATTTAATATTGGAGTGCTCTCCTCGTCTTTCGTGTTGGGATTGTGCTCTGCAGGACCAAAATCATCAAGACGAAAGTTTGAGCATTTTTCGAAATCCAGGGAAGCAGGACACAGTTTGTCTATCACATTTCATGTATTGATGGTTTCAAATAGCTCTCCTCGTCGCGTTCTCTCCCCAGCTCTGCATCTCTCATTTTCAGAGTTGATGGCTTTGCGAACTCAAAATGTTGCGATAGCAAATGGTGTGTTCAGTAAGTGACACATACGGACGGCAACCACACACAATTGCGTATAAAGTTCCCTTAATGACGCTTTAGCATCACATTTCGTCTTGACTTCGCAATCACGGTGAGGATTTAAACCAACAACAATTACAAACTTTCTCAAACAATCCCAACCAACAACTTGCCAAGTAGCTGCCCCTCCACTTAAATCTTCCATACCGACTCGAAAAATGACTATCGTATCAACAACTACAGACCGTGTCAGCCTTCCTTCGGCGCGAAAGACCGTTGCTCAAACTGGCCCTAAATCCCAAGGAATTAACTATACTCCTGCTCGTGGTTTACGAGTACAGCCTAAGAAGTACTCTGGCTCTTTGGACCAATTCGAGAGTTTCCAGCCTACACCCAACATTGGACTTGAATTCAAGGACTTGCAGCTTGCTAACTTGAGTGACCGTCAGGTACGTTGCTTGATACTGGTTGGAATTGAGTGTGATTTGGTTTATTGTATTGACTGTTCCAACGCTGTAGATCGAGGACCTGAGCATCTTGGTTTCTCAATACGGAGTAGTCTTCTTACGTGCTCAAAGCATTACTGCTGAGCAACAATTGGAGTTTGGCCGTAAAATTGGTATGAGTTTCGTTGGAGTAGTTTGGATTTGCATCATCTTCTAACAAAGCGTCCTCCTTCGTCATTTGTAGCCTCGCCAAAGGGAACACTTCACGTCCATCCCTTGACCTTCAAGACTACTGGTTCCGCTCTTGATGAAATCAGCGTGATTTCAAATGAATTGCCTTCCAAAGAATACTCTGATGATGCTCCAGCAGCCGATGGATGGCACGCCGAGTATGTTTTCCTACGTCTTGACCATAAAGCATCATCATTAACACTCCCAAATAACTTAGCATCACTTTCGAGAAGACTCCATCCAACTATGCAGCTCTGCAAATCAATGACGGTCCGGAAACTGGTGGAGATACTCTGTTCAGTTCCGGTAAGAAAAGCGTGGTGTCGAATGGCCTACCACTATTGAATCATCATTGTGACTGACACTGCTACATTTCTCCTTGTAGGCTATGCTGCTTATGATCGATTGTCTGCTCCATTAAAAAAATTCTTGGAAGGCTTGACTGCAATCCACAATGCCGACTTCTTCAACAATATTGCTGGGGAACGTGGTTCTGAAATTCGTACTGATCGCGGTGCCGACAATACGGGTCTTAATTTGACGGCCGTACATCCAGTCATTCGGACGAATCCTGTTACTGGCTGGAAGTCTATTTTTGGTGAGTTCGTTGTCAAGTTAGTGCTTTACTGGTCGACTGGTTGAAAATCATGTGTCTAAAATGGTTCTTCCCCTGCAATGTAGTAAACAAGGTTTTCACCAAGAAGATTGTCGAGCTACGAAAAGATGAATCTGATGCTGTCTTGGCCTACTTGCACAATCACATTGCCGGGGGTCACGACTTCAACGTCCGATTCAAGTGGGGCCCTGGTGATATTGCTATCTGGGTAAGCTTCTGATGCGTCGTTTGGTCAACATTTTTGTATACCAACACTCTCAAAAAATCCTAGGACAACCGAAGTGTCTTCCATACTGCTACCAAGGACTTTGACCCTAGCATTCTCCGTCGTGGTAACCGTGTGGTTCCATTGGGAGAGAAGGTAAGAAGACAAATTTACAGCCACTTCAGCAACAATTGTGACCGATTGTTGACATTGTTTCGATTTCTGTAGCCATACTTTGATCCAGCTTCTTCATCGAGGACGGAATCTATCAGAGTTTCAAAGCTGTAACAAATAAGAGTGCCGAGTAGTTTGTAGAAGTATATACCAGCAAAATCACAATGAAATATCTTTAGCCAAACAAACAACTTTAACGGAAAACAGCGGAATCAAACATTCGAAAACGCATGTCCACAAATCGTACGTCGGATTCCCATCAAGGACACAACAGAGAATGTGGTAGTTATGATAACCAGCCTTGTTTGGTTTGAATCCTTGACTGACTTTGTTCCAATTGCGTCGTGACATGATCACCAAAATCGAATTGATTTCAGAGATGGAGCAACCACCAGCCGTAGAAGCAGAGACGACTACTATTGATTCATTGGCGCCCGAGCTTCTAATAGGTGTATTCAAGTACTTGACGGGAAAGCCTAGAGAGCTTGGATTAATTGCTCGAGTCTGGTAATTTGAAGTTTGATTTAAGCTTTTCGAACTAAACTGAAACGTTCCTGTGAGAAATAACCAATTAATTTGAATTCCTAGTCGAAAATGGCATGATATCATTGAGCTTGACGACCTGTAAGCCTCTTCCTTGTGCGAGAACTGTTAACATTAAAGTTTTGGTGTTGTATTTGTTGCAACCTTGGTTGCGACCATACTGCGAAGTCCTTCGAGACGTTTGCCGCTGCTCCATGTGGTGTTTTCTCATGATGTTGATGTTGTGACTGTCATTTACTCAACTATTTCGTCTATATCTACAGGTGGAGAGTCGTCAACCGCATCTCTGAAGTCGAAGTTGACACAGAAACCACTGAAAAAGCTTCCTACGAGCAACACTATCGCAAATATTGGCACGTACTAGACGAGTACCCCATCATCAAATCATCTATCAGAGGACTCAGGACTCAGGTGCAACGATTATTACCTCACATGCGATGGAGGCCTGCCACCAGACTAGACTATAATGCTTACAATCAAGGTCCTGAAATCCTCCATGTATTCGCTCGAAGGCAGTCAACTGTGCTTGAAACAGCCATAGCTTCGTTTGACGAACAGTCTTCACCGATACGCCAAGTGATGCTGTTTTATCATTTGAGCGACTTTCAGCCGCCACCTGGTGTGCTTGGATCGCGAGTCACGTACAATGACGCCGAGTTAGTGTCTTTCTTGAATCCGCCATTCGCTCCGACATTCCCTTTGCAGCCAGGATCACATCTATACGAAATCGAAGAGAGTCCCAATGTTGTTGGGTCGTATCTTCCTTTGACTTTTGCCAAGGGACGTCGTTCAAAGGTGGGCAGCGTATTCATCAATGAGTTGCCGTTTTCGTTTGTTGCTTATCAACGCCTTTGTAGGCCCTTCATATCCTGGTAAATGTTGGTACAAAGGAGGCATGTAAATTTAATGGCCATATTGTCGAAACGCCCCTAATATTTGGAAACATTCAAGTCCCGATGGTCTTTAAAGCTCCTTCGTTTGCTGTATTTTTGAAAGAGTGAGATTGACCTGTATTTGATCTCTCGTTCCTCCTTGATATTCATACACATTTCAATCACAGATACGTCGCAAGCCTTGAAGATGGAGCATTTGGAGTGGCAAACTATCCAGAAGGAATCGGCCCAAGAATCAATCTATTTCCTACTCGGGGCGCTGGAACATCTGTTGCCATAAGCCATGGTCTCAAGGTCAGGGCTTCCAGCGTATTTGTCGCTGAACAATGGAGACCGAATGGTGAACATATATATTCGTATGAGCTCAGCATAGAGTTCATACCAGAGCAATGTCATATTGAATCACCCCAGCTTCAGCGTCGAAGATGGAATATCGAATATGATGATGGGTCTGTGGAACCTGTTGAAGGGCCGGGTGTCGTTGGCTTGTTTCCTATATTCACACGTAAGACTTTCTGAATGCAGTCGTTGAGTTGAGCACCCTCAACTTACTACTTCTCCTTGTAGCATCCAACCGACACTTTGCTTATAGTAGTTACTGTGCTGCTAAAGTGAATGATTTGGGAGAGCTTGTTTTACCCAGATGCATGGATGGGTAAACGCTGTTGTGGAAATTTATTTCTTGGAATGCAATGTTCATTACTGACACGAATGGTTCTTTCTTCGTGTAGGGAAATTACTTTTACCAGGAAGAATCTGCCTGATGGTGAATCGTTTGAAGTAGAGATTGCAACTTTCTACTTTCAGCACCCTCAATTTGTTGGATGCAAGAGTATATAAAGTGATGTTATTCGTGTGCAATTATGATAAACGATAAACGAACCCAATATAACAAATAAACGAATGATGGCGTCCATGATGTTTGGTGATTCTGTGTTGGTCGTTGGTCATGAGCTGACTAGGTCAGGAGGTATGCTTCAATTTTGATCCTGGACAGATCGGCATAGATCAAGGATCCAGCTGCATTGATATCTGCATCAGTAATAATTTATCACAGTGTCCTCATTGAAAGATGTCCTCCTCATCGTCTGCTGCCTTCACTCCTATGAGCACGGCACCGCCGTTCAAGTTTCCTGCCCCTCTTATACCGGTAAGGATGTGGACCCTTTAAAAGTCATTTTACAATGCAATTTCTGCTACTTCCTACGGTGCCTCCCGCTGCAACGTGCTTGAAACCCACGCATTTACACTCCATTTTCTTTCAGACGCCAACGTACAGGAGACGGCATGCCGTCGATGTTTCAACCGCCATGTCAACGGCCACTAGTCCTCACTCGAAAAATAACTCCGGAATCCCGTCTCCTGACTCTGACTCTGAGCAGCCGCTTCGAGCAATGTCATTCCATCAAAGTGATATTCAAAACTCTCTACCCATGCCACAACTTGAGGATCCAAAAGTCGATTACCTCAAATTGATACTCAACGCACGTGTCTACGATGTCGCTATCGAGTCGCCTTTGCAAATGGCTAAAAAGCTATCTGCAAAACTCGGGGTTAGTCAGATTTGACACTTTTTCTTATACAAGTAGCGATTTCTAACAGTGGCATATCTCTATAGAATCTCGTGTATGTCAAGAGAGAAGATCTGCAGCCTATCTTCAGCTTCAAACTACGGGGAGCGTATAACAGAATGTATCAACTATCACCACTTGAACGGGAAAAGGGCATAATAGCCGCATCGGCAGGGAATCATGCTCAGGGAGTCGCTATTGGTTTGTACTCATAAGTCTCAAGTTTAGCAATTTCTTTATTTATAACTGCAATTTTAGCTGCTCAGAAGCTGGGAATCAAGGCTACAGTGGTCATGCCAAAGTTTGCGCCTGATATTAAAGTGGAGAATGTACGCCGTTTGGGTGCACAAGTGATTCTACACGGAAACGACTTTGACGAGGCCAAGAGGGAGTGTATGCGGCTGAGAGAAGAGCAAGGGCTCACGTTTATCCCACCGTTTGACGATAAGTGTAAGCTCCAAAATAGGGTTGCATACAGGAGTCGTGCTACATCCGCTAATATAAACACGTTTTGAAATGCAGATGTAATCGCGGGAGCGGGTACCGTTGGAGTAGAGATATTACGCCAGTTGAAACAGGATCGTCTGGATGCTATCTTTGTCTGTTGCGGTAAGATTGTTCATGATTTTCCCTCGTCTTCAATAACCCTAACTAATTCTTTCTCTCCTAAACAGGTGGAGGAGGCCTTCTCGCTGGTATAGCTGCATTTGTAAAACGCATCCGTCCTGAAGTTCGAGTTATAGGGGTCAATACTGTTGACTCTGACAGCATGTATGTTGCTACTCTATTTGTTCATACTAGTTCCCTACCTCTCCAACTAAACACACTTTCCAGGACTCAATCGCTGATCCAGGGACACCCAGTTGAACTTAAAGAGACTGGATTATTTGCTGATGGTACCAGCGTCCGGCTGGTTGGTCAAGAAACATTCAGGATCTGTCAAGAGGTACTAAATTCTCGACGGATTTGTCGTATTTATCGATTCTCAAACGTCTCCTTTTAGTTTGTGGATGATATGATATCTGTAAACAACGACGAAATCTGTTCCGCTATACGTGACTGTTTCGAAGACACTCGGTCTATTCTGGAACCGGCAGGAGCGCAGGGTTTAGCTGGTTGTGTTAAATTTGTACAGGAGCATCCCGAAATCAAAGATGGGGTTTTCGTTGTCGTCGCATCGGGAGCCAATATGAACTTTGATCGACTAAGATTTGTTGCTGAACGAGCGAAACTGGGAGATGGAAAAGAGGTATGGCTAGACACTTGAATTGATTACATTCAATTGTATTGATTGAATGTTTTTTGGCATGTTCCATAGGTGTTGATTTCGGCAATAATTCCTGAACGGCCCGGCACATTCTTGAAGCTCTTTAACTGTATCCACCCTCGAGTCATTACTGAGTTTTCATACAGATTCAATGGTATGCACCTCTTCGTCTTAAGCAACAAGCTGCCATATATAATTGAAGCCTTTTCTCCGAATCGCTTAGATCCAGAAAAGGCTCACGTGTACATGAGCTTTGAAGTACAAACACCCTCTGAGCTTCCTGAAATAATTCAATTGATTGAATCACAGGGAATGGAGGCTATTGATATCTCTCAAGATGAAATGGCGAAGAGCCATGCTCGATACATGGCAGGTGGCAGGAGTCAAACTGTGGGAGATGAACGAGTATTGAGGTTTAGCTGGAAGGAGAGGCCCGGCTCTTTAAAGAAATTCTTGAATGTGTTGGAGAATTCACGGTGGAATATGAGCATGTGGCATTATAGAAACCAGTAAGTACCGCGTAAAGAACCAAGGTCCGCAAAGGCCAGAGATTAACAACCTTATTCTTGGCTAGTGGTGCTGATGTCGCACGGCTTCTAGTTGGGGCGCAAGTTAAGCCCGAAGAGTTGGAAGAATGGACCAAGTTTATTGAAGGCCTTGGTTATCCTTACGTGGATGAATCGGACAGTGCTGTCTACAAGCACTTTATGCGTTGATGACGTTTACTAGACCGGTCTAACTTATATCTCCTTGTTCTCTCTGCTGATCTGGAACGAATCACCAAACAACGATCGTGTACAAATAGAAATAATCGAATAATAGTGCTATAAATATGGTCTGTAGATCTGCTCAACGTGTCAGTTCTTCCGCTGTCCCTTGTGCGTCCCTTGCGGCACTACTTGTTAAGTCAAGCTGAGTTTCAAAAGGAACATCACAAATTGAAAATCAGCTGGTTGATAGGGACTTGAAACAACAATGAGCACCAAAAAGGAAGTAGAGCAGCATCGCCGCGAGATTGAAGGAGTGTCGATGGTTGGGAAGTCTGCCGTCATTATTGGTATGTGGATGATGTCCATGTTTTGTGACGATCTTTGTTTCTGATCCTTCACCGTTCGTTAGGTGGCACTCAAGGTAACCATTTTATTCAGTTTCAAGCTTTGCGGCGAGGATCTTCTCGCCTCCGTTTGGATCTTGGACAAGCATCGTTTTTCAACTTTTTACATCAATGCGAGAAATCCAATCGTTTGACACTTTCACGCGTGGTTGTAATAATTGTGTATAACAAGCCTTCGATTTAATCGAATTCAAACGCTAGGAATTGGTCTTGGAGTCGCTCTATCTTTGGCTCGATTGGGTGCCTCAGTGACAATTGTTGGACGAAATGCTGAACTTGGTCAACAAGCGGTCACTAGGCTGACTGCGTTGAGCCCCAGCAATGCAAAAGCCAAATTTGCATTTGCCAAAGTCGATGCGACGAGTATGAAGGAGCTGAAAGAGTTTGCAGCTCAGTATGCTGAAGCAAATAAGGTAACCGTCATGATTGCTCGTCGTTTTAATTGGTTGTAAACTAACGAGCTAACAAATAGGATGGCTTGGACTACTTTGTACATACTGCGGGCGTCATGGCTTTCCCTGGAGGCAAAGTGGTTGAGACAGCAGAGGGAGTGGAATACAACTTTGCGCTCATGTATCTTTCTAGATTCGCTGGTGAGAAATATGTGGATTTGAAGACCACATAGGAAAGGAGCTTATTCTTCTCTTTTACCTAACAGCCACGAATTTACTTCTCCCTCTGCTGAAACTGAAGGAAGGAAGCCGAGTCCTGTATACTTTCCTACCAGCATTCAAGGGCCAAAAGATGGACTATGACGACATTGAATCCAAAAAATCAGGACGCCTCTCAATGTCTAGCTGCCTCCCCTTAACTGTAGATCTCCTGACAGAAGCACTAGCGCAACGAGCTCCACAAGTGTCATTTATTCATATGCAACCGGGTTGGGTAATCACGGATCTGCTAAACAATTCAAAGATAAAAGGTGTTACTAGTTATATCATCAATGGGTTGACATGGTTGCTGTTGCCTCCCGGCAAGACGATTGAGGAGTTTGGGGATACGGCTATTGTTGTGCTGACAAGGTCAGAGTTCTCGGCGGCAAATTCGCCACTGCTTTTAAGCGCCAAGCTGGAAAAGCTCAAGATGATTAAGTGGGCTGCTGAGCATCCTGAAGCCAAAGATAAGGTGTGTTGCGCGGATTTGTTTGGAAGAGCTAAAAAAAATGCAGTATGTGACGTCGGCGTTTGAGGTCTAACTATTCGTTCCTTTTTCAGCTTTGGGAGTATTCGGCAAAAATATCTGGGATAGGTGGGACAGGCTTGTAAAATGGCATTGTATTGAAATTATATATCAGAATATCACATTAGAAGGAAATATTATAGTCGTGTTTGTCGCTTGACTGGTTCAGACATTTGCTTTACAGAAGGCCACGAGTCATAACATTTGGTTGCTTGTTCATACTATTCGACGTTGCCAAAAATGTGAGCACGGGGTGATTTGCTTATTAAGTACTTAACGAAGACGATTCAGGATATATACCTGATAAGCCAGTGCCAACACGACTTCATCTCGGAACTTTGGTCCAACAATCTGTAATCCAATAGGAAGACCTTTATCTGATAACCCTGCTCTGACTACAGCTGCAGGAAGTCCACTCCAACTATACAGATACCGATGGTTTTAGGATTCAGATATGATCACATTGATCCAGTTACACATCCCAAATGAAAGTACACATACTTGAATGCCATCATAGGTCCATACAGTGCACCAGCACCTGTACATTCAACGCCATTAATCTCTTTCGGTTCGATTCCTTCAGCGGTGAATGGATCACACGGCATAGCAGGTGTTAACACTAGGCGAAAAACAAGGGATACGAAACGGTCAAATTGGATCTTTCAAATTGTTAAACTGCTACTCACACAAATCATATCCTTTATCTGAATCCTCTTCAGCTGGAAAAAGATCCCTTCGAATGGTCTCATTCAGTTCCTTCCACTGACGACGAATACTTGCCATATGTTGCAATGGCAGGGATTTGAGGAATTTCCAAGATGATACCATTCCTCTTTCGAGTTCAGACTCTTTGCCTTCGAGAGCTGAGCCAACGGTTGCAACAAGTTGAGCTCCCATTCCAAGACCTATGGCCACGCAAAAAACAGCTGAGTGTCATTTATGCTTGGGAATTTTGATATTCTGGCTCACCCCATGCCACGGAAACATCTGGAAACTCAGTTTCCGGATACTGGATTTGATGTCCCAGCGATTCAATCACTTTACATGCTTGTTTCATAGCGGTTTCAATATCCGTTTGTACAGCAGGAGTCATACCCAACGTTGGGGAATAAGCAATTCGTAATCGTTTAGGCATGGGGGTCTTTAAGCTTGTTCGATACGATATGTTTGGTGGTGGCAGTGATTTGGCGTCATTGGGATGATCTAAGGAACGTGATTGTGAGAACAAGCGTCTGATTTGCAAGGAGGCGTGTATTTACATCCAGCGGTTATATCTAAGTATGTAGCAGCGTCATACACGGAACGACACACAGGCCCAAAGTGTCCACAATCTAGAAACTTTTGCATGCCGAAAAGGGCGTCTTCAGTTTCGGGTATCCTTCCAAAGGTTGGTTTGATTCCAAACACCCCACTAAATGACGCTGGTATTCTGATACTTCCACCACCATCAGCTGCTGTACACACAGGTACGATGCGAGCTGCAACAGCAGCGCAACTACCACCAGATGAACCACCCGGCGTGTAGATCGGATTCCATGGATTTCGAGTTGTTCCAAAAAGCCTGTTTGGAAATACAAAATCAGCATGTGCAAAATGTCTTGAAGCAACAGACTGATGATTTACAGGTTCTTTGTATAAGCTACAGATCCAAACGGCGGCGCATTCGTCTTTCCAACGACAATGCACCAGCTCTACGAAGTCTGGCAACTTGCACAGAGTCCTCTGCAGCAATATTGTTGGCAAATGGTTTGACACTAAAGCGTCAAACAGGTTAGCAATATGGCTGACTGATCCTTATGTGAAACTAATCGTACCCAAACGAAGTGACAAGCCCTTTCACATCTTCCAGATCTTTGACGCCAATGGGAACACCGCACCAGATAGGGAGAACATCGCCTTTAGCTTGCTTTTCAGTCCAATATTCCGCCTCTTTTAGGGCACGTTCAGTGCAAACATGTACGAATGCATTAATGTTTGGATTTCGCTCGTTGATGCGTCCCAGTGCAGCCTTGACTGCATCAAGCGGCGTGATTTTTCGGGAGTGGATGAGCTCGGCAAGCTCATACGCGGTAAGATCCATAAGGTGGCCGTCCATTGTCGTGATTGCTTCAGATGACGATTTGGGATTTGCAATCTTGTAGTTACACAGGGTTTACTGTCCATCGACGCAACGAACGTTTCTGGAGCAAGAAGATGCCGATTCATACTAACATTGACATCAACACTACTAGCAGCCACAATCGTCGTGAGAGAGACAAAAACGCAAAAGTATGATAGTCTTTAGCCATTTCAATTCAATCAAATTCTATTTTGAAAACTAGTGTACTACATTTTTTGGTTTTTAGAAGTGTAAATTCTAATCAAATTGTCCCACATCTTCACTTTACTAAGACGTCTAATGACAACACACCCTTTTGTGTTTTTAATACTTGGCCACATTATGAGCTAGTCGATCCGCTCCTAAAGCTTAGTGGAGATGCTGGTGGCGATGATCTTCCAGACGATACTGAAGCCGACGATGGAGTTCTAGGCCGACCACATATAGATTTGAGCAACACGATAGATGCCCTTAAATCGTGACGGCCCTTTCTCATCTTGCGGAGGGACAAGACAGTGTATAGATCCTCCAAGCTCAGCAATGGGCCAAAGTTGATGATTGCTTCGGTTCCAGATGGTAGTGTTGTTTGATTATAGTACACAGGCAACTCGTCGGTATGTTCGTGCTCCTGAGTAGCTCGAATGACCACTTCAAGATGGTGGGAATCGTCTGATTCTAGGTATGGATTTGCACATGGTTTCTATGATATGATGATTGTAAGATGATGATGAAGATGGTGTGCGATGGTTACAGATGCTTGGCGATCGTGGATTCTCCAAGCACAATCAACAAAGGGAAGGCGGAGACAGGTATTCAAAGTGTACGTACTTGTTCCAGAGTCTTTAATTCACAAGTTATATACGAGAAGACAGGGGTATCATCATCCGAGAGAAACGAGACATCAATGTGAGAGTATGTACTAAGAGTGTGCAATATATCATGTAAAGCTCCTTGAATGACTAGTGATTCTCTAGAATTGAGTTCTATGAATGGATTGTTAGTGTCTACTCGATTTGAATCAAGAGGTCCAACTCAGAACGATGGGATGGGTTTTTTGCAAGTGGCTACTTACCAAGCGTTTCTTGGATGATTGGGACCGAGAGTAGCTTGAGCGAGTCGGATCCATTAGAGCAGATACCGATTACCGCCGTCTCCATTACTGTATCTGTGACTTCAACGACGTCGTCTAAAGAGAAAGAATTTTTTGTGTACACAAGAATGATGATCCGGATCGAGGTCGTGATTTGGAACCACAGGCAAGAACACCTTCGATACGCTCGATACAGTCCAAAGCAGGCGCAAAGTAGGCGTGTATCGCAATAATGCAAGGCTACCATCTACTGGTAGGGACTATACGCGAATCTCATCGACACTGTTACGGTTTTGAACAAACCAATCGAATGATCGATGCAGCATATGCTAGATGTTGCAAATCCAGCTGCCATACTTATTCATGCACAGGTTCTCAATCGATTCCTTCTAATATGCTTCAATGGTTTTCACGCATAACAGTGATGATGACATGTCGCTGCGAAGCGAAGCACCCAAACTATTGGCGGTGTTTCTCTTCATTCTACATCCTGCTAGATGGATCAAATCGAAGCTCACGATCTCCGTTGTATCAAGAAGTTGCTCGCTTTGAAGCTCTGTTTGTAACCTGAGACAACACCATGGTTGACACTTTCCCACCAAAGCATCATTGATTTGCACACTGGCAACGTAGATCTCACGAGTACATATGTTAATGCGATGTAGATGACTCAGTTCATGCTATTAAACTGATAGTTTGTTGCATATTAGTTGATGTGACCTCACCACTACCAATAAACACTGCATCGTCGCATTGCACGTCGAGTTGTTTCGACTAAAGAACAGGCTACAGGCTCAAATCAACATCTAATTGCATTCAGTAATCGCACGAAACGAACGCGGTTAGCTCCTAGAACTGCTGTCATCAGCTTTTTCATAAATGCGTAGATTGCACGGTGGCACCAAAAAAAACCCTCCACAAACCCTACAAAACTATCGCACCCATATTCTACGGCTCTCTATTACTTGATATTTGCTGCTAATCGCCCCTAGCTCTGTCACTGATTTGGAACCCACCTGGCTGAGGAACACCGTTTGGAATCAGCTCGATTTTTACTACAAAATACATTACAACAACGCCAAACTTGAAAGCAAGGACGGCCCACCATGCCCACAGAAGCCGAAGTAGATGCGCGCTGGCTCTCTTCGCTGCTCGATGCCCACGCTAGCAAGAGATATAAAGTAGGCTATTCCCAAGTCTATATGCCAACAATGAATGCACCACCAGGCAGGAAGGAATACGTGTGGGTTAGATGCTGGATGGAGCTATGGGGCTGTGAATTACGTATTTGGAAGGCTCCTTGGCTCAACCCTGCTACTAAATCAAATATTGCTGATAACATTACAGATTTGGTCAAATTGGAAACTAGACCTAAAGGTGCCATAGTAGAACAGGTATTAGCAAGGCATATATTATTTGATGTTTTGCTTATCAATGGTTGAATTTGAAGTGATTTCAGCTGGAATCAACCGCTGGAAGCTTACATGGTGTTTGGACGAAAAAGAAAAAGAGGACGACTTCACTCACATTCAACACCCGTATCTGTTCAGATCAAGACGGCGGATCAGAGACCACAATATCTAACGCTACTGAATGCTGAGGCCGATCCTCCTATGCCACCACGATCTCGAGTAAAGAACCCTGGGATAGCTCCACCGGCGCCCTATGTCCAATTCATGACATTCGAAGCTGTCGAAGAACCCTCGCTGCGAATGGCATGTGCTTCAACGTATGCGAGAGATGCTTGGGTAAATGCAGTCAAGCTATGTCGGTTTGAATTGGCCAATATATCAGAATGTGAGTCAGGCTGGTTTGGCTGAATAAACGCTGATGCGGCTAACGCAAAAAATTGTTTTCTAGTTTATACCCTATCTCTATTAAAGGAGCCACCATATTTT